TCCTGAGGCCTGTATCAATCTCGCGGGTCTCTAATTCAGAAGTATAATAGATAAATTAAGTTGGATTTTGTATAATCACTTCCATGTAAAAATATGTCATCATATTCCATATCATGATTTCTCCACGTCGACTCGGAAAGTGCTCGATGATAGTGCTCCTATTTGGCGTATAGCCTATTCTTAACATAGGGACGTTATCTAAGTTGTATGAACTTCCTTACTGAACAAAAAGCAGGCCGTTATATCATCAAAATACAACAAAAATAAAAATCTGGAATATTCCATATATCATATGTCCGATGTTGCCGCTTAAAAATATCATAATAACACATTTCACAGATATGGCCGCTTTTCTCTTCTTCAAACACGGTCTTTGACATACGTTGCGAATTTTTGGGAATGTAAATTTACAACATACCACAACGCCCTCCGCACCGCCAAAGACAGAAAAAAATAGAGACAGATCGTGCGAGAGAAATTGATACAGAGAGTGGTCATGACCCTTAGCATTGAGGAATATGACGCAAGGAGGAGTAGGAGAGATGTACAATAGTTCTATGGTTACTTTATACTATAACCTATAGGTTACTATGCAATTTTACACAAATACCTGAACATAGTCGAATATTTTCAGGATTAGTGTATAATATATGTAATGTCGTTTTTTGTATTGCTTAGATGGGTAGACAAGCTCACAGCCCACCTGGTGTTAAGTGGTTACTGGAGCCCATAGACATCTACAACGTAAATGCGCCACCCACCTTGAGATATAAGTTCTAAGATCTCAGTATAGTTACAACGACTGCCCCACCCTTCAAACCGAAACGCATAACTGCCTTACGGCAGAAATAGGCAAGGCGGTGGATACCTACCCGTGCGGACTCAAGAGGTCCTACCACCAGTAAAAAATCTGTGTTATGTCTGACTTGAGCTTTTTTTTTCGTATATGGGACCGAACCTCCTACGATGTATCCGCGTCTAGGGTGTACGTGGGATAAGTGAGACTAGACAGTTTGCCGATGTTGGAAACAGAGTGCGGGCCCAAGGATATTTTTAGGGCCCTACCACACCAAACGACCTCTACTGCACTTTGACACTCGACGTCTGAATGATTTGAGCGCTGCCTCAACCGAAGTCCAGACACAGGACGATTGACGCGGTTTTAGTCGCTGTAACTCCAACATAACCTCGTCTGTCGCTAAGAAGACTGGTCATTTCACACTAATCCAAGAATAAAAGCATAACCTCGCTACCTTCGCGTCCTAAATTAATAAATAAACGAGCAGTCCCTTAAGGCGATATGTGCCACATAAAAATATAAATGTGAAAATCAATATTTTGTTAAGTATTCGAACGTATTTCATTACAAAAATTGGTACCTGCAGGCGGGATTCGGACTGCGTTGCATCGCTAGATACGAATGCATCGGACGTCTTATTGTTCAGGCCACGACGACTGTCTTATTAAATCACCGCCTTTTAATAATTTAGTGATAAGAAATGAATGGTTGATCACGTTACGAACACAATATTCCTAATTTTATGTTATGTAAAAAATAAGAAATTTGTGAATGTAGCTTAAAATGGCTACACTCCCGATTTTCGTATTTCCAAAGTCCATACCATGGGCAGTAAATTTATGATATTGACAGTCCCCAGCTGTTATCAATGTAATTAAGTTCACGGATACGAATCGGTACATAAATCAACCCCAACCCTTACATTAGGGTAGCAAGGGTTCGAGGTCAAGGTCGGCCCTTGTAGGGGTGGAAACTAAAGGGTGAATATTTCACTTTAGAATGTTTTTTAAAGGAATGTATTATGTAATGAAACTTGACGTATAAATATTATTATAGATACTAGTGGTCCCGCTGTAGTCGAAATTCGACTATAATTAATTGAAATTATAAGTATGAACATGATAAGGTTGTATTGTCAAAGACTATTACACTTCTTTATTCACAGATTTCGCCAAGACTACGCCATAGACAAATAATATTAAAGCTAAACAATATTAATCTATTCTCAAATTGACCACAGACTTTAGACAAAAAGAAAAGTTTTACAATAAACAAAGAGTTTAAGTATGTGTCAAGGGTGGCGCCGTGTCCTCGTCGCAAAAATAGGAAACGACTTGTCGTTGCCGAGTGTTGTGGCATCGATGCTCGGCGACGACGAGTCGTGGAAGGTGATGCTCGACTTCTGCGAGTGCACTATCTTGCAGAAGGAGGCGGCGGGGCGCGTGAGAGACGCACAGGCCCGCCGCCGTCGAGCGGGGGCCAGGGAGGCGGATCTCGCCCAAGCCCTGGCCCTCTAAGTGTTTCGGGTCCCCTTCATATGTCGATCTGGGGCCCGGCGAAGGGGACCTAAGAAGACGACGTGCAAGCTGCTCTGCACGCGTTTTACGCAAGAGTATCCGGGTCATGGAAGGCCGGCTATCCTCGACCCACGCTGATTCTGACCCAGCGGGGTATTCCGTAGGATAACTAACTCTAACCGGCGCCATCTAGGTGGGCTTCGGACAGCCTACCGACCGAGAGGGCTGGTGGTTGTGATGCCGACGATCGCCGGTCTGGCGTCCCGAGGAGGAGGGCGATGGGAGAGATGTGCTCCACACTAAGCGCTTCACTTTCCCCCTTTACCTTTTCATGAGTTCTATCTCATGAGAGGCTTGGACGTGGGTTGTTGAGCGACGGGAGGTTTTAGTCGGTTCGACTCCGACATACCCCGCCCGCCACTCCCAGTGGAGGGTGGGAATATGGCAATATTCACCTGACCAAAAAAATAATAATACCTGTGTGTGTCAAATACGTGGTAGTGTGTGTAATGTTTTTTTATTGATTTAATGTTTTTTTAATGCTTAATTTAAACAATATTCTAACATTCTGCACTTCTTCTCTATGTTCTCTATAAATGTGGGAAATTTCATACACCTCCGTCCGCGCAATTTTCGTAAAAATGGGTACAAAGTTTTTGCTTCACGTATTAATATATAGATGTTTGTGTTAATTCTGGCTGAACGTGATTTTTTTCGCTTTCTTTTGCTTATCTATTGGTTGTAACCTTAAGAGGATTTACTAGCTTCACCGATTATTTGGATCTAGTTTTTCAAGTTCGGAAAAGCATTTGTCCAGAAAAAAAATTAACGCCATCTTGTAAATCTCTCAGATGCTTGCATTCCTTCTATTGGATATTAGCGTACTGGTACCTCAATATTTCACGAGATGGCGCTACAAAACAACATAACCTTAATTTACTAGGTACCAGAAAACTGAAGAATATAGATATACATACTTTCACCTTCTCATGTTGCTCTAAGAATAAATGAAATAATAAGACGAAATGAAAATGAGGTTGGTAAGAGAGTGTTAACTATGAATGTTGAAGGATATAGAGGAAAAGGTAGACCTAAGAAGAAATGGATGGATTGTGTGAAAGACGATATGGGTAAGAGGGGAGTGAGCGAAGAAATGGTATATGATAGAAGAGTATGGAAGGAGAAAACATGTTGCGCCGACCCCAGGTGACTGGGAGAAGGGCAGGAAATGATGATGATACTTTCACCTAATGAAATTGGAAAAGAAAAAAAAATGACAATCAGATATATAAAAAAAATAAGTCTTGGAACACAATCACCAGCGCCCCTAGCGGCAAACGCAGCGAAACCTTGAACTCGCACTAAGCACACAGGCAGATTTGTGGGATCTTGTTGAAAAGGTAAATACAAGTCACAGAGCATCTTTACTCAGAGAAAAGATACTTGTTTTTGTATTCTTAGTATAATACCCAATCATTGGTAACGTCATCTAGTAGTTAGTGACACCGCCATACCACGACACGTGAGTTCGTTTTGGAGTCGGAGTCAGTATCTTTGTTACATTATATTTATATGCTTTTTCTGTCTGTTGTGTTCCCCGCATGCATAATACCGGTGATAATTCTAGTTCGGAATCGCCAAATGTTAACAACCTTAATTTAAAATACGTACCTACATCGCTCCCTGACGATCTCCTGCATTTTTTACATTTTATTATGATTACAAAGATGTCTGAGGGCAGGCTAGACAAATTAGTTATGGGTCGAATTTGTTTCTGTTGCTATTTATAAGACGGGCAGGTGTTTTTGTAATGAAAAAAGAAATACAAAAAAGAGCTGCATCGGCCGGGAATCGAACCCGGGCCGCCCGCGTGGCAGGCGAGCATTCTACCACTGAACCACCGATGCTCAATGAAACGTAGCAAAAAGTATAAATAGCTTCAGATATGGTTTAATATGTTTTTTGGATATAAACAACAATTTAAGTGTTTTTTTTACGAGTATTTGTAAGTTCTAGTTAGCTTTATATTCGTTAATCAGGAATTATAATACCGGCTAAATTTAATATTTTTACTTTTAATTAATTTTATCTGTACGATGCCCATATTCTGAATATGCTTGCTTTATATTTTGCGTGAAACTATATTTATTCAAATAACTTTGCCGTTATAAGTATCTATCTGTGACTAAATAAACGCGTTTGTAATGTTTTTAAATTCCTATGCTACGTATTTAAACAGATGTGTTCTGGTATTCCAAAGATACAATGGAGAGGTTCATTTACACTTTACTTAACAATAGAATACACCTTAAACCTAACCCTTCTCGAATTATTAAATACATATTTTCGTTTTTAAATAATTTTCAATTTCTAGTATATTTTAGTAGAACTAAGTAACTCCATAACAACATTTCAGTATCATTTGTAGAATTTTATAATACAATTTTAGTCCATGAGATGTTCCACTTATATACATTTATAAGTTGGATATATAACTTTTTTCATAAATAAGAAATTGTTCGATGGCGCGAAAAACAGCGTACAAAATGGCGTCGAGTCAAGCAGCTGATCGACCGTCCCCTCGGTCGCACCTGACGCACGGCTCGACGTACACTGTCAGTCACTCTACTTACCGCTCGACAGACTCAACTCTACAAAACAAAGTGACTCAGTCCGGTCAGTGAGTCGGGTGAGTCCCGTGGTGACGGACAAACGGTCTCCGCGTCACTCCGCGAATTCAAAATGCCAATTACAGAAATAATCGAATGACGAGAATCTATGCATTATCGTTGTATATTTACGAAACGCCATTGCGGTAATTTTGGATAGCGCGTTGCGTAATGGCGGGTTTCGACTGTATGCGTTATTACATCTAGTTATGGATTAATATCGATTGTGGAGATGTACACCGAATGAATGTAGGACAGTGTTAGCAGTCACTGTGTCTAGGTCAGACGTTTTCGGTACCGCTTGTTTTTAGATGTATCCTAACGAATTCGTGTCGATATCTGTCAATATTTGTGTAATTTTATTGCCAATGAACGGAAACGGAAGTCAATGACAATAGAGCAATTATTAATGTTAGTGTTACAAGTGTAGTGTTTAAAAATACTGTAAATTTTATATTTATAGTGCATTTTAATTTGTTTGTAAAATAAAGTGGTTTAAAGGAAAATGTTTGGCGTTTTGATGAAACGATGGAAACCAAAAAGGTAGGAATTTGTAAATTTTTTAATAGGTACTTGGTTAAGGATTTTTGTTTCATTGATTAGTAGTCAAAATGTGCAGAAAGTACTTTGTTATTGTAAAAAGAAACGTACTTGTTTCTAAGCTATGTTTCACAGCCGAAATCATGTGTTTTCTATCAATTCTTTCGTTGTCAATACCGGTCGTCATAATGAATTACAAATAATTGTGCAGAAATTTTGTTTCATAATATGTCTACAAAAACAATGAATGCATAAAAGGATTCATTAAAATTTCCTCTATGTTTCACAACACTATCAAGTTTTGTAATATTAGGAAACTCAACGATAAGCTTATTCATAATAAGCTACTCGCCATCCGTTTGTATTTGCAAGGGCTGTCTGAAAGAGATCCCTTTTAGTGAATAGAACCGCTATTGCTCTTATTACTTTTCCAAAAAAAAAAACATCACAGCGGAGAATGAAACTCTAAAAATATGTCCGAATGAATTGTAATATTTTTTCCCCTGCTTAATTGCTGGTAGCTCAGGAGCTATTCCAGCCACGTACAGTTTGGTAGGTGAGCTCACGGGGTTCAACCTGGGACGTACGGATAGTTGTTTCTTCAGCGTTATGTCTTGACGTCTTTTAAACGAGCTTGGAAAATACATTTAGCGATAGGAAATAGCATAAGCATTGCTTAGCATTGCACATGTTCACTATCGCCGTTAACTCCAAACAACCAGGTGGGACGTATCTAAATCATTTGCTAACAAAGGCAATTAATTACAAAATATAATTAATATGAAGGTGTAATTCTGTCATTTATTTATTAGATATGGCATATCTTGTTACAAAGTTATTAATTGTCTTAGCTCTTATTTTAAAATGAAGTTTTAAATTGTTCCATTTTTCGGGTTCAAATTTGTCAAATATAATGCTTACAACTTCTGTATTCAGTTTTTCTTAAATCTACCGACTTTCGATTCTTGAAAGAACCGGTAAAGTGCTTTGCAGTAAATCGTTTACATTTTTAGTTTCAATTAAAACAATTTGTAGAAATCGGTTATTAAACAAAAACCGGTACTTTGAAAATACAACCGGAAATTTAAGTTTTAATTGTCTTTGACACTAATAGCTTAAATACAAAATTTAACTATTGAAAGGTTAAGTAGTTGATTATTGCTATCGTCATGCTGCCTTTTTTCTATTCCATTCCACTTCATAAGTGTACTAAAAATAAGTAATAGTAGTTTAGTAACTAAGTAATAGTGTTTTAAGTCCTTCAAATAGAAGAAAAACAGAATATTTATTAACGTGATAACGATGATGGATGGATGTCCAATGATGGATTACGTAACTTTTCGCTTTTTAAAAATAATGAAAGGCATAATTTTGACACTTTAAAAATAACTTTTCGTTTTTGGAGATCAATCGTTTGGCAACGAATTTCGAGAACGGCAACGACAGTGGAATCTTTATGACATGCCAGAGATGACAACAAATGTCGTTGTTAAGCTGTTATTTATTTAAGATACCGAGAAGTTTTAACGAGATTTTTCGAATAGAGGTGAACAGACGTATGACAATGGGCTATCTACAAGCAGATGAGTTCGATGAACTTTTAAATACTTTTGTAGCGTATCTTTCGATGCTTTAGTTCATCGGAATCTAGTTTCCCGAAGATATACTGATGAAGGAAGAAATACTCGAGTTGAACACGGTCCGCGGAGATTCACGACTCTTAAATTTGGAGCTAAGGCATAGGATAACTTCAAAATAATCATACAATACAACGTTCACTAAAAATGAACATTATTTAAATCGATCTAATAAAAAAAATTATCAATTACATTTTGCTGACAACACTGACTCAGCGTCAAAACTGAGATGCGTGTCAAATTAGACGGAGTGTCAAAATGAACGGAAAAAATACCAAAGCGTCTAAATAGTAGTCGTCGTGGCTCAAGAGATAAGACGTTTGGTGCATTCGTATCGAGCGATGCAACTGTGCCATTGTTCAAATCCCGCAGGCAGGTACAGATTTTACTAATGCAATACGTACTTTACCAAATGTTCATGAATTACTTTCGCGGTGAAGGAATAACATCGTGCGATAAAGATTAAACCCGCTAAAATTATAATTTCCGTAATTACCGGTCGTCTTTGGATTGATGGTCAGTTGGAGCGTCTGGGCAGCGTTCGGTAAACTGCACAACGTCTTCTCGTCCAAAATACCTCAGTGCCTTAAGACAAAGGCGTACAACCAATGTGTGTTACCAGTGATGACTTACGGCTCGCAGACGTGGTGCTTCAATAGGGATCTTTTTAGAAGGCTCAAAGTCGCGCAGCGAGCTATGGAGAGGGCTATGCTCGGCATTTCTCTACGTGATCGAATCCGAAATGAGGAGATCCGTAGAAGAACGAAGGTTGCTGACAAAGCCCGTAGAATTAGTGAACTGAAGTGGCAATGGGCCGGCCACATAGCACGAAGAGAGGTCGATGGGGCAGAAAGATCCTGGAGTGGCGACCACGTACCGGCAAACGCAGTGTGGGACGGCCACCTACTAGATGGACCGACGACCTAGTAAAAAGCGCTGGGTCTCGTTGGATGCAGGTGGCAATGGACCGGTCGCACTGGAAATCTATTGGAGAGGCCTATGTTCAGCAGTGGACGGCGATAGGCTGAAATGATGATGATGATGATGGAGCGTCTTTTGAGTCCGCACGGGTATTACGACCACCCTGCCTATTTCTTTCGCGAAGTAGTAATTCGTTTTAGTATGAGGGGTGAAACAACTGTTGTATTGTAAAAGCTGAATAGTAGAACGCTTGTCTCAAGGTGGGTGGCGACATTTACGTTATTGATGTCCATAGGCTCTAGTGATCATTCAACACCAGATGAGCCGTGAGCTCGCAGAAGAGGATACATGATCGGGAATCTGTATCATTTGTTCAAATAATGATATTATTGCTATTAAGTTCACGCAGCGACTTCCAAACTGGATCGTGGCTTCAGATACCAAAAGACGACATTCCTTGCGGTCCTTCGCTGTTTGAGTTTCCCCTGGACCTCCTCCACCCGGCCTTTTCAACGGCGAACCGCCCGTATGGTTGTCCCAAGTACACCAGTTTAAATCAACGATTCTATCCCATCCCTTTCACGTTTCAGTGTGCCTTTGTTTCGCCCAATAATATCGGGCTCCGCCTAAAATAATGATTTTACAAAAACATGTGCTGCATGATCGGAATATCGATTACTGTTGGGAAATGATCGTGAAACGCTGTGATTAGGTATTTTTTATCGATTCTCTTGACGGCCGACCCTCAGACACAGTACGGTAAGTTTCCCGCCGGATCTTCTCATTGGATCGCGTTTCCAATCCCTTGGTGCATTCTGCGAAGCACTGCTCTTGCTAGGGCTAGTATTAGCAAATTCGTCAGGCTCAGTCCCGTGAGCTCGTCTGCTCGCTTGTTGAATCCAGTAAAACCCCATCGAGGTTCCTAGAATAAGTAAGCAAAAAAAGAAAAAAAAATGCCGGTCGTAAGTAAAATTGCCGTTTTAAATGAAGTACGGACAACGGAAGAGCTTCGTCGCTGTCTTTTTTTGGTTGTCAGATAAAAATAGAACTTGTGCGAATGAGATAATGTATTTTTTTGCATCAAGGAATTAATAACGTTGGCTCTATTTGCTTTTTGCTGCGAAATGTTGATCATAACTGCAAATGTATGTATTTACGTGTCCCAATTGCCTACCTTATTGATTTTTTGTCGGCATACATTATTCCGAATGATTAGCTTCTTATATGATGTAGCATTAATGTTTGTAATGCTTCATATTCCGAAATAAGTAATTAAAATATAGATTTTTCTTTGATCTTCGGTGCCCACTTAAGACAAGGCTGACCGTGAGTTCCACTGCCATTTGTACCGGTAAAAGCGTATTTGATCCCGTTATGCTCATTTGTGGGTTACGAGAGCTTATTGGCAGCATTGAGTTGTCATTATTGTAAGCTTCACGTAGGATTAACGTCATATCTGTGCTTTAGTGAAAGTTATTTAACATTATAATAGAAAACTTACCTTCTATTAATATCAATATTTTAGATAAGAACAGGAAGAAATTCGGAAATTCCAGGGTTATTATTAGAATTATTATTTAGTATTAACTACAAAGGTAAATCAATCAAAGTAGAGATCACTAAAAAATTGAAAATAAATTTTAATAAATTTGAATTAACAATAGTGTAAGAAAAAATTATGTTATTGTAAAAAAGCGTGGGGTGCTTTTCAGGACATTATCAAAATAACCCTTTTACTCATATTTGTTCATAAAATATTTATAACTACTGATACCATGCACCCCACGCTTTTTTTAAAATAAAATCATTTTTTCTTACACTATTTTTAATTCAAATTTATTAAAGTTTATTTTCTATTTTTTTGTTGGATTTTCTATAAAAGCGTATTTTGTTAGTTTTTTATTTAAACTATTATTTATTCCCTACCTATTCGCTGATAGCCTAAGCTGCTATTCCAGCTGCGCTCGGTCGGGTAAATGAGATCACGGGCTTAACCTAAGAGAACTAGCACTAGCCCTAGCAAGAGCAGTGCTTTGCAGTATTCACCACCGGATTTGAATCGAGATCAACTGAGGAGATTCGGCGAGAAATTCAGTGGGTTATTTATTTATTTATCGTATGGCATTCGTTTACACTACGTGGTTATAATTTAAATTTACAGTTTGTGAAATAATCGATAGCTTCTTCTGTCACATTTTTGAGATCTTCCACTTGGCCTGCGAATCTCGTTAGTGGGCATTCCATGACAATGTGGCGTATAGTTTGCTCTGGGCATCCGCACTCACAGCTTTCGTTTTCCGTCCAGCCCCATTTCTGCCGCAGTTGGTTACAGTGACCAACTCCCGTTTTCAGGTGGTTAAGCATGCCCCAGATTGGGCGTTTTTCTTTGAAACCGCGTGGGCGGGAGTGTGGGTTCAGCTCGAACAGTTCAGGTGGGATACATCT